GCTTCATCTCCTTAGAACTTGTTCATTTTCGATAATCTAGTCTTGTAAATTATTAGTGAGAACATATCTAGTGAGGGAGAAGAAAGAAATAAGTCAAAAAAATTTGTGTTGATCCAACACAAATAACAAAGTTCATAAGATATAAAAAATTGCAAATGAATCTCACCACATTCAATTGTTGAAAAATGCCGGTTGAAAAGGAAGTCAACATTTCGTTTAAGCGACAAGTTATGTAATCCGAGAAGCAAAATCATAAATAATCATATTGAACATATCGTTTACAAAGGTCATAATCTCAAAAAAGCAGAGAAAAGGACCAGGTGGATTAGAGACCCTGGTAAGTGCACATTTAAAAGAAAGATGATTAAAACAATATTCTAAATGTAACTTTATTATTCTGCTGCCAAAAATGTCAGAGGTACTGTGTAACAAAGCATGCAAAACTCTTTCGCATCTTCAAGCAATATTACGAGCTAAAGAAAAAGAAAAAACACCAAAACAATATTTTTATCATGCAGTCAATAACTAGGCCTCTTCACCAAGATCATCTATATGCCAAATTTTAACAAAGTAATGCATATGAAGATTCTTCCAAGCATCAAAGCCTAGATTGCCAAAACAAAACTAATTATAATGAACAAACCTGCAATAAGAGCAACATTTTGTCAGCATTCTATGAGATTGACTTGTCCAACAAAAGCAAGTCCATTCAGTGAGAGAAGAGAACAGATATATTCTAGACATTCAATACTAATGCTGTTTTTTCCTTAATTAAGGTTCCTCGTATATTCATTTCACAAAATGGAGAATAAAAATGCCTGCAAGCACACTAAACATGCCACCTTACCTATGCATGAAAAAGGGTATTTCCCTTCTTACTAGTAAAAATGTTGGTATTTTTGATGTGATATGAAAAATTTATGCAGTATGGATGTAAAGTTAAAGTTTAGGTGTTGCATATGTAAATACATAGGAATTGGTTGGTTTGCATGCAAATGCCCTAGTATCATACTTGAAACTTAAGAGCTGTCATGGCTAAATGTTGCTTACATGAATCTTTCTTATGCTTACCTTTTTCTTCCAAATCAAACAACAAAAAACAAGTAGAAGATAGGATAGCGAGCCAGATGATCTATGGAGGCCTCAAATATCATGAGTCCATCATAAATAAATATCCACTTAGCAAATTAAACTAAATTCATCAACTGGTAGAATTTAGCTTCATCCAGAAGTATGTTCCGTACCAATATTTATAGCATCACTTTACAGGGAATAAGCAAACTAAGCTATATCAATACAAAAGAAGCAAAGACTATTTAATTTTCATTAACACATGAAAAAACAAGAACTACATGGAAATATCCCATAAGTGATAAAAAACGCCAATCCAACTTGAAATGTTGCTTTTTGCGCACAACAGAAGTTAAATGTTTCTGTTTATGCACAATGAAAGCTGCACATTCCTATACTGAAATTGGTTCAGTGCTTTTTTTTTGTTCGGTTAGTTTGTATAAAATCCTAATATGGTTGAAATGTGCATGTGTTTGCACCCTTGGAAGCTCTTCTATAACATGCTCACAACTTAGAAGTAAAAAGATTTCAAGCCAAAAAAAAAAAAAGAAAAAAAAGAAAAAAGAAAGAGTCTCTTATAAAAAGAAAAACACAGAAAACGTAAACAAGCGATAAAATATTAGGATTTCATTTCATTTCCTTAATATCTCTTCAATTTAAACAAAAGCTTATAATCTGCATGCTTTTTTTTTGTTTTGACAACTTTTTGTGGACACGTTGAACAAAGTGCACTTTAGTTATACATCAATTACTATTTGATTTAGTAGATTTATTGGCTTTCCATAGCCGTTATTATTTATTAATTACTTTTATTATGCATTATGTAGTTTCTTTTTTATCGTTATTTTGATTTTATTTCATTGATTGTTTTCTTTTTTTCCTTTCTTGTTCGAGTCCATTGTAAGCATTTAAATGCCCCTCTTTGTATCAATGAGAACTATGTTGCTCTACTCCAAATCTCAACATGGTATCAGAGCCTAATCCTAGATCTAGCAACTGCTGGCCTCCTCTACCGGTTCCAGCGGCCGCCACCTAGCCGCCTACTTCCTTTACTGTTCCGATAGCCGGTGGTTTTCTCTTCTAATTTTTCTACTGCAGTTTTTTCCTGGTCCTGCTGCTGTTTTCCTGCTACCGTTTTTTCTGGTTATACAAGCTGCAGGTTTCCTTTTGTTTCCAAGCAGCAGCATACGGGGAACCAATAGCAACCATCCTTTTTTCCTTGTTCCAGAATTTGCCGGTAGCCGTTTTCTAGTTCGGCTATTGCTTTGCCACTATTTGGCTGCTGGAACCCGTATGGTTTTAGCTGCTTTCCTTTAGCCACTGTTTTGTCGGCTGCCTCTTCTATGCTGTTGCTTTGCCGCTCTGTTGGCAACCTACTCCATAGCCACTGTACTCAATATATTTGAATGAGATGGACTCCAGATGGTTGCAAAAGGTTGGGAGGTTTTATGAGGATGAGTAGATTAGAATTTGGAGTACATTGAGATAATTGAAAAGTCTTACACTAAAATGCTTCATGATTTGTGGTGATTAAAAACGGGGAACAATTTTTTAGGTGAATAACTAAAGCAGAAGTGACACACCATTGTTATGTTTTCATTGGAGGAAGATACATATATACCAAGCATTTTTTTTGTCATTTAGCATTCCTTTTTTAATTTGGGAGGTGAAGGCTAACATTTTTCTTTAAGCTTGCCTATTACTCTTCTGGAAACCTATTGTTGAATTCACAACGAGAGGAAAAATAATTTGTAATACAATTTATAGTTTTGGAAAATTTCTCGATTGATTATAATGTGTAGGTTAGCTTAGGAATTGAGATAACTAAGTTATGAACTAGTAAAGGATTGAAATTGAAAGTCTTGATGCCAATTACTTGTGATGTTGATCAATTAATAATTCTAACCATATAATTTGTTAAATATGAGTGAAGAATTTGAAGTTAGGCGCATCCAATCTACTGCTACAGTTTCTAGGAAATAGCTAGTAATGGGAGATGAAACTGAAGGGATAAACGGTTTAAGGTGATATAAGTATATGCCTATAAATTTAATATAATTTAGTCAATGTCAATCCCCTCCCTCTAAAATGCTATAAACAGTAAATTTATTAAGCTTATAGTATGATTAGAATAAGTTTAATTGAGTTGATGAATCATTCTATAAAATTAAGTGTTTTAATAATTCATATATACTTTTTTATTTCAATTTGATCGGAATAAAATTTAGAATTTTATAAAGGATAGTTTAGATGTATTTTGAGGAATGCAAAAAATGGAGTATATTCTAAAACAAGTTCCATTTTAATCTACAGTATGTAGGAAATATTGTGGCCGTGCTATAAAGAAAGCAGAAATAAGGATATAGAAATGATAAAAATAATGACTTTCTATTTGGCAAAAAGGGAAGGATATGTGCTCCTTCCCTTAGTTTCTATGTGGGTAGACTAGGGGTATGTTTGGGGCGGCTGTCCGGTGGCGGTGCAGTGTCGCTCCACAGTTTTTTCTGTTTGGCAATAACTTCATTTTGCTTGCATTTTTGAAAAGCTGCAGTTAAAAATTGTGTTTTCCCACCTCGACTGGTTATCTGCAGTGGCTGCTAGAAAGCTGCGGTATGATTTTTTCAAAAAGATATTGGGGGATTTACATACGTGCCACTAGAAACAACCTATATTACATATTTTATCCCGTAAAATTTAATTTTACTTAAATACCACCCAAAACTTACCAAGCACCCACTTCTACGACTTCATTACTGTGCTCTTCACAGAAGTTTCACGCCATAACAATCTTCTTGCCTTGCAATCTCGAGCACCATTTTGGCATGATATCCCTCTTTTTGCACTAACCCAACCCATCCCCATTTTTTGCCCACTGTGCCCAACACTGCATATCACCTTCCCTGTTCGTTTCTCCCTCCAATAGCAACATCGAGTTGCCTTCTATTCCACTGGTTTGCACATAGTTGTGAGCTTCCTCACATGGGCTTCACTGGCTATCTTCAAAGACCAGCTTTGATTATGGTAGTAGTGGTGAATGCAATGGAGCATAGGATAAAATTACAAAAATGAGCTATAAGGTGGCGGAGAAATGACTATTAGTGTGACCCGACTTGTTACTATCAGTCAAAGTAAGGCGCGCAAAGTTCTGGGCTTTCGAGGATGGTTTAGGAGTTGAAGTAGTTGAATTGTCCAATTACTGGAATGAGGCCGGAGAGATTATTGGAGAGAAATCAACAACTTTGAGGCTATGCATCAAGGAAATTGATTGAGGGATGTTGCCGTCGAGGTGGTTTCTAGAGAGGTTGAGTTGTATTTTGGATAATTGTTGCAGTCGAGTAATCTTCGGCAGGACGTTGTCGGAGAAGAGATTTTGGTTAACGGGAGAGATGATTAAAGATAACGATATGAACGAGCAGAGTAACGGAGTGGTAGAATCGGGCACTTCATAAAATTTGGGTGGTATTTAAGTAAATTTAAAGTTTAAGGTGTTAATTGTGTAATATAGGTTGTTTTTGGTGGTATGTATGTAAATCTACCCGAAGTTTTTTCTTTTTTTTTAACAGCCACAACAGTTTTTTGAACAGCAGCTTCACAACTGCTTCTTCAAACAGCTGCCCAAATAGACCATAAATATGCACTTAGTCTTTGCTTCTTTTCTAAGCCTGTTAAAATGCCATACATTATCTCGGAATTCTGATGCCATATAATTTTTTTTATACTTACAAATTTATCATCATTATGATTGTGATCCCACCACCACCTCATCATCTTTATACAATCTATGAATTTTTTTTGTATATGAAAGTAAACAACATTTACATCATGATTATTTACTTGCTGTAATGTTTTGGCTGCAACTAACCACTTTTTTATTCTTTTTTTCACTTTCGACTTGAGTGTCTTAAACTAATTTCTAATTTTCTTGATAGCTATTTGGTGGACTTGTAAATGCCGGAAATGCTAAACTGGAAACTACTGATCTCTTTGAGGATGAGTATCCTTTTTATGTGCCTGTTTCGTTTTTCAAACAAAATAAATCACAAATCATTCTCTTGGAATTGGTTGTTATTCTTAATTGCTTTAGCTATTTGCTTTTCAACTTCAACGATTACCCCAATGGAATGGTTACACTTTTCAATTTGTTAGTCATGGGTAACTGGCAAGTATGGATGCAGGTATGAATTCAGTGAAACTTAATTATTTTTTGTCCGTGATATAATTGTTCTATATATATTTATTTGTGGATATGTATTTTGGGGATTTGCAGTTTATTGCTATGTGAATTTCATGGGTACTAAATTTTTTTTTGGCTCAAGTTCTGGAAAATTTCAGTGATTTTTCTTTTTTTCTATCATTTCTAGAGCTACAAGGATTTGACAGGAAGTTCGTGGACCCTTGTCTATTTTGTCAGTTTCTATCTCATAACCGTTTTACTGCTTCTGAATTTGGTAAGTTCCTGATAAACATAGCGCCTGTGCTTTTGTAATTAATTTATCTGTGTATTTGCTCAATGAAAACATGATAATGTTGAAGTATTTAGGTTTCTTGTCTTCGAAAAATAATTTATCTCTCTCTTCATGTCTTTTGAATCTTTTTTATAGCTCATGTGTTAGAAATCTTCGTCAAACTACCCTGGCAATGTTGAACAAATACATCAGGAAATGCTGTGGATGGCTTATCATATTTCTTCCATTTAAATGTTTGATCATCACATAATAGGAACATGGGCTGATGTAAAGCACAGCTTTCTTCCAATTTGCTTTTGTTTTACCACCAACCACTCAACAGATTTAAGGCTGTTCTATTTTTCCTCCTCATTTTTCTTTAGCATCTCTCTTGAAAGGGATGAACCTTTCATTATTTGAAAACCACATCTTTTTTTATTAGTGATCATATCTTCACATATTTTTCTGTAAGCTGCTTGATTTCTTCTGATGTTATCTTGTTTTTTACTGCCCTCAATATTGATCATTGGAATTCTAATTTGTGCTTTTTTGATGTAGCATGGCAAATTAGCTTCAGGCTCACCAGTGGTGGGGGTTTTAACTTCTGAGATATTTGGTTAAGAGAAACAAATTCAAAGTATTTTTGCCAATGAAATGAATTTCTCAAACAACTCATTTTTGTCAATTAGAATTCACCCAAATTGGGTGAATTCCAAATTTCTCAGAAATAAAGAAATCTTCATAATTATTAAAAATCTAAATTCATCTTAGCAACATAGCTATCTTTGGCACTAAATATAATACCTTGCTAAGTACTCATAAGATGGAAGCAATGTCATATTTTTTTAAGAAAGATTATCTTGTCCACTTCTGTGCGAGGATTCCTGATATTGAATTATAAAGGCTATATTCCACTTCTATTGTTTCAGGTTATAGCATTTGTCTTGGAAGCATTCTTTGCTGAAATGGAACTTGAAAGTACTACCAAGTCTGACGATACCAAGGTTTGTACATGTATAAGCTGGAATCAGTCAGGGGAAAGATTGTTAGAATTTGTAATAAATCCTATTTTCAGTTTGCTCTCAATTTACTATATTTCTATACTTTATATGTTATTATTTTCATTGAAGGTTTATCTTTCAGGAAGAAATGCGTTTTAAATATTACTTAAAATTTTTTACCTTCACTATGAAATGTTTGGAAATGCATTATTTTCCAACAAGGCGTTGAGTTGTACTTTGTAAGATGAGCGCTTCTGGATCTGTTGGGATTTAACTCTCATTTAGGTTTTGTTGGCCTATAAAATGTAAATTTGAGTATTTGGCAATAAAAGGTTATTTGCAAGCTAGCATGGTAAAAAGTACAATGATAAAATAGATGTGGCAAAAACTTGGGATGATAAATTAAGGAATAAATATATCAAAAAAAATTGTTAAGGTTGAGATAATGAAGATATGGTAATTGAAAATTGATATATCATATAAATGTAAACATGTATGGCAATGGTAGAAAATGTACCATCTAAAGGTTTAAAATTAGCGTCATATGATTAGAAAATAAAATGGATAGGCCTAAGTTAATCTGGAAAGTTTTTTAATTAAATCATAGTTTTTTATCTAGCTAAGAAATGAGTATAACATAGGCAATACCAATGAATTGCTAGATGAAGTGGGAAAAAAAAACACAAAAAAATTAATGATTACTTGATGATTTAGGAGTATTTATCCTTCAGTTGAATTTTGAGGGCTACATAGCTCCTCATATACAGTGCTTTGTTTGAAACTTGATGGATATTGGAGAGTAATAAATCAACTTCTTATTATTGCCTTGCTTAGCAAATAGGATTTGAAATCTTCTATTCACTCAAGCATCCGTATTTTGAAGACTCCTATTTATATCAATAAACTTTTCTGTAACATTGTCATTGATATCTTAGTAATAGGAAGAAGATGATGAGCTAACATACTATGAGGGTTAGATCAATGTTCATACGAGTAGATGAAGAGCAGGCCATATCTTTTCGACTAATAGTAGGGGGAGGCTTAGGAGGCTCAAATTTCATGAAAATATCAAGAATTGATTTCAAATTTTGTGTGTTATTTTGATTCGATAGAGCTATAACCATCATGTTTAAAGGGAATGATTGATCATTTGTATACTTTTCTTTTACCAAGATATTTGATTTCCTTGGTTCTCAATGAGTTGAAAAACATTGTATTTTTGTACAAAATTTAAGAAAAATAATAATGAATTCTTTCTACTTCTACCATGTATTAATATCCATAAGATAAGAACCATTCAACACCTTCTCCAAAGGAGTAACAATGTCCATTAAAATTAGGATTCTTGTCATAAACATCCAAGAAAGACAAATTGTTGCAAAATCCACTTGTAATGATTTACCAAAACTAGATATCAATGAGTACAGGGTGGATTGAATAAGATTGTCTAATCGAAGACCGTAGGTTTTTCGTGAAAAATGGAAGGCTGTTTGTGCTGAAGAGAATGTGAATTTTGTTGAAAATGTAAAGAAATGATTGGCCAAGGGCACTAAATAAATGAAGCCTTTAGCTCGGCAATTACATGAGCGACGTACTAATGGATGCAAGCACCAGAAGAAACGGTCCCAAATGCTATGTATGTAGTAGTCTTAGAGATAACAAGGATCATCTGAATAGTTTCTGAAGGATACGCTTGAATAGGAGACTTAGCCATAACCTGAGGGGTATTTGGTGCTAAGATGTGGGGATTGAATTAGGAGTGGAGATAGGTAGTATGATCGCCAATTAGAATCAAGCCTATAAAGCTGATGGAAACAATCAATGCAATGATGATAAATGCAAAAATGCAAGATTCAACCAAGATGTTATAAATGCGAAACTGGAATAACTGGTGGGGGCATCTCATCTATGATAGTGGTAGGCTAGAGCATGTTAGGTCCAAAATGCTGATTTTAGGCAACATTGTCAGCCAAAAGAAAACCCCCATGAGGGATTGTAGGATCGACAATGCAGATCAAGACTGGACACAACTTAGCATAGCCACTAATGAGAGGTGCATTGAGAGAAGCGCCGAAATGCTAGCTAATGAGAAGCGACAAAGCAGAGACTCACATTAGAGAATTTGAGTGAGGCAGCAACGAGCATGACCAAGATCCTGAATGAAGAACACACTAATTTGCAGCTGACGAAGCATGCACCCAAGTTCAAGTAAGCTAGGGCATGAGGTTGCCCACTTGATGCAACGAGCACAGACTTCCACACAGGATGCAAGATCGAAGGAAATACCATCAATTCTCTTACCTATGAGAGGCAATTCACATTTTCACCCAACAACGTCAAAATGCTTCAAAAACTATATTGCATTCTTGGTAAAGAATCTTGTTAAATGCTATCTGGGAGTCTCGTTCTTGTCCTTGTTTGAGTTCTGCGGCATCTTCGTCTGCCTTCGTCGGAGTCCAAGGAAACCCGCTACTCCTCTGATAGCTCTCTGCTTCGATCGTGACAGCTGCGATCTTCGACTGCTTCCATGGTCTCAAGCCGAAGCCGCGATCACTCACCATCCTCTCTGCTTCGATCGCGATAGCCGCAATCGCTCGCGATCCTCTTTGCTTCAATTACGACAGCCGCGATCTTCTCATTTCCTCTCAGGCAGGATCTCTTTGTTTTTCTTTGGCTTCAGAATCCTCTCCTAATTTAAGGCAGTGCATGATTTTTAGGTTGATTCAGATCAACGATTTGGATGTTTTTGGATTTTCTGGCTTTCTTTGATTTCTAGTTGATTTTGATCAACTTCAATTATATTTAGAATGTCTTCTAAAATATTAGTTATTAGATCTACGAGAAAGAATTATGCTGCATGAGAATTTCAGCTCAAAATATTCTTAAAAGGGAAGGTGCTTTGGGGCCATATTGATGCGTCTTTTTCATCTCCTACTGATGTAAAAGATCTTGGCCAATGGGAAGCAAAGGATGCTCGGATTGCTTCCTGGATTTTCGGATCTATTGAGGTTCATATGATGAACAATTTACGATCCTTTGACACAGCTAAAGAAATCTGGGAATACTTGAAGCACGTTTACAATCAAAGATAATTCTGCGAAACGCTTTCAATTGGAAGTTGACATGAGTAATTATAGTAAGGGTAATCTTTCAATTGAACAATATTATATTGAACAATATTATTCAATTGAACAATATTATTCTGGCTTTCTAAATTTATGGAGCGAATATACTAACATTATCTAATGCTTCAAAGGAGAACTTAGTTAGTCTTCAGGCTATTCATGAAGAAAGTCGTTATGATTAGTTTTTAATGACGCTCGGACCTGAATTTGAAATTGCTCGAGCGGGGTTGCTGAATAGAGATCCGGTTCCTTGTTTGGATATCTATTTTGGTGAATTACTACGCGAAGAACAAAGATTGACGACACAAGCTGTTATTAGTATAATAGGTGGATCATCAGAAATAATTAGTATGACATATGCTGCTCATACCAAAGGGAAGGGATCAGTGCAGTGCTACAGCCGCAAGAAATTTGGTTATATTGCATGAAATTTCAAAAATAAGTGTTTTAATTATTGCAAGCAAAAGGGACATTATTTTGGAGTACCCTACACAACCCGGGAACTGCAAACCATAAGCACTTCATGCCACGGTATCCGACACAATCCTGAATCGACATCCACAGTTGCTGGCAATAATCAACTAGTTGTTACACCAAATATGGTTCAACATATGATTCTCTCTGCCTTTTCTGCTCTCGGGTTTCAAGGGAAAGCTAAAACTATTAATTTACTTTCTGTTGGTCAAATTGTGGATCATAACTGTGATGCACATTTTTCTCGTGATGGTTGTACTGTGCAGGATCAGGTATCGGGGAAGTTGATAGTGAAAGGGTCTAAAGTGGGCAGACTGTTTTTATTATAATTTATGGTTTCTCAGAATATGTCATTAGCTTCTTCAGTTGTTTAGAATAAGGCGGTCATCTGACATAAAATACTAGGTCATCTAAATGATATGGTGTTGAAGCATTTATTTAAAAGTTGTGTTTTTCTTTCTACAGATAAGAGTTTAGTAGTTAACTATTCTGTTTGTAAACATGGAACAAGTAAGACATTATCTTTTCCTATTTTCGACAGTCGTGCCAATAAATATTTTGAGATTATTTATAATGATGTTTACATCAGTTATTTCACATGCTCAATATAAATATTTTTTGACATTTATTGATGATTACAGTCAGATTTTCTTGGATTTATTTTTTGTGTTCCAAAGCAGATGTATTTACTGTATTTCAAACCTTTTTAGCATATGTTGAAACTCAGTTCTCCGCTCGCATAAAATCTTACTGTCTGAAAATGACGGTAAATGCATGTCTCTTGAGTTTCAAGCATTTCTCCATAACAAAGGTATTGTTTATACACCACAGCAAAATGAAGTTGCTGAACGAAAAAATCAATATTTATTGGATACTGTGCGCACATTATTGATAAAATCTTCTGTTTCAGCTAAATTTTGGACTGAAGCTTTATCTACTGCAGTTTATCTCATTAATCGTTTACCATCTCAATAATTCCAATATGACTCTTCCTACTATCATTTTTTTTTATAAATATCCTAATTATCATATGCTACATACTTTTGAATGTGTTTGCTTTGTTCATCTACCTGCTCATGAATGTCATAAGTTGGCAGCTCAGTTAGTACGATGTGTCTTTATGAGGTACAATCCTAATCATAAAGGTTTTGTGTGTTATGATTCAATTAATAGTCGCTGAGATATTTCTCAGAATGTGATTTTCTTTGAACATGAATATTACTTTCAGTATTATATGTCGACACCGGATACAGTTGTACTTCCACAATTTGATAATTCTTTTGCTGATAAACGGTTCAAGACAGACATTGTCTACACATGACGCATGCCCCCTTCACCTTCAATCCCCCCCAAACCCTAATCCAGAAATTGCTTCAATAAGTCGTCGACGATCAACTCGGAATA